ACAGAATCTTCAGAGGTGGAAGGGATCCACAAGGATCATTAAGTCCAACTCCTGGCCCTGCACAGGACAGATCAAGAATCACACGGTGTGCCTGAGAGCATTGTTCAAATGCTTCTTGAGCTCTGTCAGGCTTGGTGCTGTCACCACTTCCCTGGGGAAGTGTTTCAGTGCCTCTGGGTAAAGAACCTTTTTCTAATCTCTAACCTAATCCTACTGAGACAACATCAGGCCATTCCCTCAGGTTCTTCACTAAATTTTGTCTGGCAGCAACAACACTGAAGTGGCTTGGGACTAGCACAGGTCTCAACACTCAAGAACAAAAGTCTCACTGCCAACAGAAAAGCATCCAAGAAGTGCATTTTGCTGTCAGGTGTATGCATGTATGGAGTTGTGTCTCCAAGACATGCCAGAGAGGGAATGCTGGGGATTCAGAGTCTGGGAGATGATCAAAGCCATCCTCTCTGCTCCCAAAGGGCTCCCTCCTTAGCACCTTACAAATAAAACACCAAAGAGGCCTCACCTCTTCCTTAACTCCCACCAGCATGCTCCAAGGCCTGTGTCAGGACACTTGCTCATCTACCAGAGCCCCAGGGAGGCTGCAGCTGCCTTTCCAGCCGTCCTCACCTCCACTGGGCTCTGCCCTGGGGCTGTCCTGTGCTCTACTCATTTGGTGACAGTGGAGTGGCTGGTGGACAACCAGGCCGATGCTGGAGATCCAGAAAAGCCAGGCTGGATGAGGCCTTGAGCAACCTGGTTTAGTGGGGAGGTGTCCCTGCCCATGGCAGGGGCTTGGGACTAGATGATCTGTAAGGTCCACTCCAATCCCTAAAATTCTATGATCCCCTGGAAGGTCCATGACTGAGGAATTCCCATGGAGCAACCATGACTGAAGGATTCCCCTAGACATACAAGGGCACTTAGACCTCCCTTGTGACACCTGGGGACCAAGGGGTGGGTGAGCAGGCAGCCAGCTGCCCCTGCTCAGTCCCATCATTTTGGCTGGTGGGCACTCACTTGAAAATCATGCACCTGTTGAAGGCTCCAGGTTAGCTCTAACACTTCTAGGAGGTGAACACAGCCTCATCCCTCTAAACACCTATGTGATCCATGACATAATGCCCACACTGACCCTGGGAGAACTGCCTGAGTGTCCTAAGAGTCAGCAGAGACGTGGAGAAGCCTTCCCCTTGCATGTGGAGAGCATGACATCAGCCCCCAGCCTGTAAAGGGAACAAAAAGCTGTGTGCCAAACAGCAGGCTGCCCTCGTAAAATGGGACCAGTTCAATGATTATGCTGTCCTGGAGTCCCAGGCCAGTCCTGCCTGGCTTAAATAGCACCCCTGCTAGCTATTATCTTGAAGGACGCTCATTACAGAAAATCATGTCCCTCTGCCAAGTTCTCGTGTCTCACTATTTTTGGAACAACATGGGCAGGCTCTGTGCCTCAGCAACTGTCAGCAGAGCCACAGGGAAAGCAAATCCATATAACGATCAGGCTAACGGGGACAGTACTGGGAACAGCATCGCCCGGGGGACAGTCCCCTGGAAGGACCCTTTGGTCATGAGAAAAGGGATAAGGGCAATAAACAAGCCCCAGAGGCTATTTGACACTATTTGCATAGGAAGTTGATCTCCCCCAGCCCTTTTCCTTCTCATGCATATGAGTGGAGACAAAAGGATTTAAAGCAAACCACCTGTGCAGGAAGGATGATTCCTAAACCCCAAAGAAGATGGGACCTACTTACTGCAAATTCAGTTTAATTAAAACATTCCAGGATTCACATTCCCCAGGATTACATTACTGACTTAGCTATTTATACATGTAGCCTCTTTCATCCCTTCTAGGCCAGTATTGTTGAGGTGTTGGATGACACTAGTGTCAGGTAAACAGAAAAACACTTTTTGGTGCTTGTGACCCCTAATTCAGGATCCATGATTATCCACAGGTCTCACCACCTGTCAGCAAGTCACAGATTACTTGAGTGGAAGCATAATCCTCTCTGACACTAAAGGATGATTCTAAGGCCCTAGAAAGAGCAGAGGTAAATAGCTTAGGCAAGATGGAAAGTTACCAAGGCAAGGTTTTCAATTAAAAAAAAAAACAACAAAATTTTAAAATAGGAGATGTGGTGAGCAAGGAAGATCTCACAAACACAGCTGGAGTGGGACTTAAACTGCCCCCCCTGCAAGGGAGCAGCAGGACTCCTTCCTCACCTTTCACAGGAAAGGAATCTGGAGGTGCAAGTCCAAAACTGCCCAGACCAGTGCTGGGCACGCAGAGGGCTACATCCAGCCTCCACCAGCCTGCTGGACAGCTAATATTTCCTCTTTAGGCTCTGAAAACTGTGACCCACACCAGGCAGAGACAGCCCTTGCAGCTCCTACCACCTAGTGGCTGCAGGATTTGGCCGTGATGGAGCAAGGAGGCTGTTTGGAGGTCAGATCCTCAGCCCACCCTGGGCAAATAAAGCTGCCCTTGCTGGCAGGCAGCACTTATGCTGCAACTGAGACTAAATTAGGATCACACTGAGCACAGAGGCAGCACAAGAGAACAGAAAACCTTTCTGAAAACCATCAGCGGCTAATGTGAGCACAGAAAAACCTCAGCCAGTTCTAAAAGAGGCAAGCAGAAGTAGCAGCAATATAGCTGAACTCGGGTAATGCATTGCTGTTTCAGGCACTTGGTGCCAGCTCAGCTAATGCTGCATTAATGGCACCACACAACATCACACCATGAAGCACAGACATGCCCCAGGCTGTTAAAGTCACCCCAGGCCGCTTAAATCAGGGGAAGAGTTGGCTAGTTTGGATGGAATATTATACAAGAGTCAGAATTCAAATGGCTCTAGATCCAGCCAAACCCTCAGACCCTTTGAGTGCTCTGTCCTCAAACTGTTGCAGCAGCTCAGCCCCTTCTAGTTTCCACAATTTGCTCTTGAACTGGAAAGGGGGAGGCTGTAACTGGACACCTGCCAAGCAGAGGGTGTAAGGACTCTCCTGAGCTCCTGAAGCAGCCCAGTACATAATTTGACTCACATGCCACTGGGCTGCACTGCTGGTTCATACTGAACTTGACACCTACCATGAGCCCTGGGTACCTTCCAGCTGGGCTACTGCCCTGCCAGTCAGTACAAGCCTGTTCTGATATATCTTATTGGATCAGGCTCTGACAAATGGCAGGAAGCCTCAAAACAGCTAGTTCTTGAAAAATTCCTAAAGGCAGGCCCAGTAGGTCATTATGCATCCAGGATCTCCATGGCAGACCAGAGTCATGCTTTGTTTTTTATGACATGAACCGTTGATACCACATTTTCAGAGTCTGGGCTGCAAGTGTGATATATGTGATGTGGTTTCCACGTAATTTCAAGTGAAACCAGGTATTGCTTTGTGTAATCCTGCCCCCAGTTCCAACATTTTTTTACATAAGGTTGCATGTTGACATTTTGAATAAGTGGTTACGTTTTTTATATATAAGTGATTTTATATATAGATATAACCTCTTTTCTGCCAAGTTCTTGTTAATGGAGGAGATATCCCAATGCCATACAAAGAATGAGCAGAAACCTGAAGTACAGATCAGTCTGGTTAAGCCCTCCTAGAAAGGTTCTGTCCAGTGAATACCCTGCTGCTGTTGCAATCATTTCTCTGCTATAGCAAAGGGATTTAATGATGCTTTTAAAAGCAATTTAAATCTGGTTATTCTGGATTGAAGTGGGTGTCACTGAGTGCAGAATATGGGCAAAAGGTGCCATGAACCATGAACCACATTAGCCTGAAATCTACCCTGTTTTTAGTTTTGTTTATAATTGGAGGGAAGTGGTTTTCTGTTAAAGACAATCCAGACAATGAAGCAAAGTGGGATTCAAGTAAAAGAGGAACCTGGAAAAGACTGGAAATAGAAGAGTCCTGCTAGACAAGCACCACTCCCTTGGCACCATTTCAGAGGCTGACCAGCTCTGTGTTCAGGGCACCAAGGGCTGAGGGGGTTCTTCCCTCTGCTCCTCTGATGACAAGCTGGTCCAGAAATTCCTGTTCTGGGCTGTTCTACTGTTTAGCAACCTTCTTTTCATTTCCAGTCTAACTGTATCCATGGCCAGTCTAGACTCATTTAATCTAAGCCAGCATCTTGACAGCTTTGTTTCCCTCCTCAGTGTTCGACATCTGCAGACATCAATCAGATCCTCTTTTTGCTTTCAATTTGTTAGTCTAAGCAGGCTGAGTTCTTCCCTTTTCTTCCTCTTTGCAAAAGACTCTGCAATTACTTCATCAGCCCAGAAGACCTTGTCTGCACCCATAGCAGATTGCATTCATTTTTCTGAACATGACAGAAGGCACTCACACAGTGACCTTAAATCTTCCCTAAGTTCATGGGAAACACTCTGCACAGCCCAGGAACAAACTTGCAATTTTCACATCCACACTGCCATTCAGGAAGCAAAGCCATAGCAAAGGGCATAGCAACGAGTGGCAAAACCCACTGCTACCCCACATTTGACCTCAAACAGAACACACTGGACATTTCTGATATTTCAGGAAAGCCATAAAAAGTTGAAATATTATGAAATAAAAGAGGAGTTTCCTTGGTTACTAGTGGCAACAGTGAGCTGTAAGTTTTGGTTTTGCTATACAGCCCAGCTGCTCTGTGAACCATGTAAGCTATGTATTAAAAAATACAACACAAA